TCTGGACTGCATAGCGGGATGTCGCGTGTTCGGTCCCCGGGAACGGATTAATACTCAAGGTCTTAAAATAACTGAGAAATAAAGGTACTGCGGCCTTTGCCCTGTAAAACGGCTTGTCCTTCGCGCGGCTTGGACTGACCAAGTAGAAATAGCCGTCCACTCTCTAAAAGGGGAGGAAAAACAGTGTCCTCAATTTGTACTTTTGTGCTAAAGGTATTGACTTTAGAGTAATCATACAGAAAAGTTGAAAAAAAAATTAAAAGAAAGAAAGAAAGAAAAAAGAAAAAAAAAGAACATCTTTTGGTTAAACTCGCTGATTATATTTGATATTTGTGACCGCCTTATACCGTACGCTCTTACCACACCCACTTTCGGAGGTCGGCCATTAATTGCAGAAAAATATTGGTAGCCTTTTTACAACAGGTGCAAATTATAGCTCTTAACTTCTTCTCTCCCAGAGGGAATGATGGTGTGTTGAAAGGTGGCACTAACTTTTGAGTCTGTGGATAAAATGCAATAGTGTGACCATTCAAATGACACTCCTGTAGTGGTACTTTCACATGGTACTATTTATTTAGCACGTAGTTCTAACGTTTAAGTTTGTGGAAGAAATCCTATGGTGTGACCATTCATATGAAACCTCTTCGGCAGTACTGGTGCTATTTGTTTAGTATGTAGTCTATCTTTTGAGTCTGGACAAAATGCTGTAATAAGACCATTCAAATGAAACCTCTGTTGCAGTACTTTCACATAGTGCTATTCGTAATTCTAACTTTTAAGTCTGTACAAAAAATGCGTTAGTGTGTCGAATATTCAAAGGAAACCCCTGTCGACGTACTTTCACGTGGTTCTATTTGTTCTTTGGCACTGTAAAAAACAAAATTTGGATTTTTCATCTAATTTTGACTTGAACTATTTCTGGGAGTACGATTTTATCCCTCTGACTCCCGAGTGTATCTTAGCATCCTTTTAGTTTTTTTTAGATACTTGTTGCTGTTTCTTAACGAACTACTCTCTTTGTGCTTTTTCATGTATCGAACTCAAGCAGCATAGTGTCACTGTTATTTTGAAGTTGATGTCGTGGTCGTCGACCGTGACTCAACTGAACTTGTTTTATTTGTGATTCAAATGTATTCTTTATCAAAGCATTTATCAGAACGTGAATCAAAACATTTATCTTCGCTACAGTTGTTTGCTCTGAGTAATTACCTTCTTATGACCTGAGGGAAACCACAGCAATTTAAAACATGTTAAAAATTCTGTTTTTATGAGAGTTATGCCTTGCCGTCGCTTGCTTTTTGAAAGCCATAAAGTTCGACTCTAGCATACTTTCTGGTAGAAGATATGATCCACTGGAATTATTTTAGCCCTTTCTCGAATAATTAATTTTAGCCCATTGTTGTTACTCTTCCAACTATATGGAAATCCGAAACGCTGAATCGAAAATGGCAGATTTTTTTCACTTTCACGTCACGTCACATGAACAGCCTTGTCCTTAGCGCAAACCCTAGTAATTGACAATAACAATATTGAAAGGAATAAGCTCCTTCACCCGACCAAAAAGAAATGGTCAGGTCGGAATACTGGATTACTGAAACCAAGATAGCAGCTTTTTCACGTTTCACGTCACGTCACGTGCGTAACGTTTTCATATGCGTTATATAACATAACACAAACCCTAGTTAATGAAGTTACTTACTAGAAGTTGACACTAGCAGTATTTAAAGGAGTTTGCCCCTTCAACCCCCAAACAAGAAATGGTGAGGTCAGACCACTGGATTACTTGATTAAACACTACATTAATTTTCGTGCTCGCCTTTCTGGCTTTTTTTTTTATCCTAATTGTTTTATTGCCTTTCAACAGGTAAAATCAGAACGCGATGATTTAACGAGGAAACTGAAACGAAGAGAAGAAGCTGTTGAAGCAAGACAAGAGTCGTCGCTATTAAGCGAACAAGTCGAAATAACGAGACACGAACGAAGTGAGTCAATGTTTGAGCAAAGTGCTCTTATGCGGGACAAATTCGAAAAAGAGGTCTCGGTAAGGAAAATAAGCGCTGAACTCACAAAGTCTCAACAAAGAAATATCGAAATGGACGCGAAGGTGACTTCCTTGGAAGAAAAATCAGAGACGTATAAAAAAGAACGAGATCATGCTAAAGAGCAGTGGAGGCAGTCGGTTAAGGAAAGGAAAAGATTGCATCGTGAAATTGCTGCCATTGTGCAAGCCAGGGACGAAGCGATACAGAAGTGCTTTTCAACCGCAGAACAGTTAGAGAAGTTGAAGGAGGAGTACAATCACTTGCTAAACCGTTTAGCGAAAACTGGTTTGAGTGCGAATAATTCGAGCGAACTGTCAATTCCGTGCTCGTTGAAGGAGTGCAGGTTTTGCGCTGGAGATACACCGGAAGGCGTTGAGGTAGGACATATTGATAAACCGCCTTTTCTTTGCTGTCAACTCGTAGGCTCGTTTAACGCCGTCTCATCTCCGGGGTCCGGTCTTTGATCCTCCTTGAATAGAGATTCTTTCAGGGCTGCGGAGCGGAGAGGAGAAGGGGGGGGGGGGTGTGGGATGAGGTCCAGGGGGGACTGCTATATAAGTGACGGAGATGCTCGTCGCCTCGTTTAGGGTGTAAATTGCAGGTTTTGGTCTCTTTAAGGGTGTTTGGGACGGAAAGTCGCTATATTTGCCCATTCAGGTATAGCTTAGAGCTGTGCATGAAGAACTTTACAAAAATGCTGTGACACTAGTCATAACTTCTGAAAAACAACACGACATCCCTGACACGAGACAAAACACTCTTACTAGCTTTTATGTAAATGTCTGTTTTTGTATGACCAGTCCTTTAGGGGTAAGTTAAAGATTGAGCAACACCCACATTGGTCTCCCTTAGGGGTTTAATTTTAATTTTCCGAAGGCCATCCCCGTCACTTTTATATGGAAGTGTCCCCCCCCCGGGGGGATGAGTACGGGCTCATTTTCCCGAACAGCGGCTGGTAATCGAGCCCATCAACCTGTAGGTGCATAAACCCGTCGTAAAGTAATAAAATTAATTTCTAACAATCGTATTCTATTTTATTGAATTCTGTAAAGGCCCTTAAATACTACCATGCAAAAGTAATACCAAAGAGGTAATTGAAGAGGATTCACTTTGTAAGGTTACGCCAAAGAATTTCATACATAGATTCAAAAGTTACACCTACAGCTCAAGTTTCCGTAACTGCCACCTGGGCGTGATAGAAAGCTTAGCAACGACGAAGGCGAAGGCTGCGAAATCGTTACTTAAAAAGTGAATAATGGCGCTGCATTAAAGTTATCGCTTTTATCCCATTTGGTCCATTTTGTTGGCTGTTGGCGAGTTTTTGTGCGGTTGAATTCTAAAGGACTGTATCTGAGTTCAGAAAACGGAAAAAGAAAATGGTTGTCCTGTGTGCAAGTTCTCCATAAAACTGACGTGAAGGTAGTTTCCGTTCAGTCGTGCATCGACAGCAAAGTAATCAACAAAAAGCGTAACCTGTGCTCGTGCAAAGTTGGAAGTTTTGCTTTTTTTGCCGTTTTCGTTGCCGTTGCCTTTGTCGTCGCTTAAGCTCCTTATTTACCGTTTGCATCGACGGGTCGCTGCTGATTAAGGTTATGTTGACACCATACCGGATAGCCATTCGTGCCGACACGAAAAGCTGGCCGATTTAGTATGATCAGGAACGGCACAGAACTGGAGAACTAGAACAAGTCGTTCACCTATATTGAACATCGTACAGGAACGGTTGGCCGAGAGTTTTTGGTTCTCTTAACCCAATCCTCACTCCTGGGCCCTGTTCCTGTAAGGCCGATTAGCACTAATCCAGGATTAAAATTTTGTTCCGTTTTTGTATTTTACCTTCCGGTGTATTGCCTAGAGTAGCATTTTGTGTTATCATTACTGTATGTCGGAGTAGATGCTCAACAGTATTTTGTATGCTCCAGTTGCATGTGACTTCCGCCTCATTGGATTCCAGTCCTATTTTCTACTTATTCACCTCCTCCACGGTCCCGGAATACCTGTTCACACTGCACCAAAGAGTGGCACAGTACCTATCCCATACTAACGCGCCACTTTCGAGATCGGCTCCGGGCTGCCTGCGCAGCTTCGCTCCTTTACAGAAATCGCGTCGAAATCACCAGTTCTCATGTGTGAACAGAAGCCCTATCCAGTATGATTTTCGCTCTGGCGCATTGGATAGCTATCCGGTATAGTGTGAACATAGCCTAAGAGGCCTAAGTATTCGGGACTTTATACTACTAGATGAGAAATTTCTGCAATTTGATTGGTTTAGAGCAGTGGTATTTCAGCTTAATTTGAAATACCTACATGTGAAAATTACAGACCTTTTGCGGGTAGTAGTATAAACAAATAATAGCATGATTTGTACGTGATACTTGGCATAAATACCACTCGTGATATTTCAAAATTGTCTCAAATTTCACTCGCCTAACGGCTCGTGAAATTACGTATAACAATTTTGAAATATCACTCGTGGTATTTATGCCAAATATCACTACAAATCATGCTATTACCTATACAAAAAAATAGTGGAAATTGTAATTTGTTCACCCACGGATCACTAAGGAGTTCATAAGAACTCGTTGAAACGTGTTCGTGCGTTCCAGATCGAATTGGAATTTGAAAGTGTTGGTTTTTAAGAAGAGGGGAAAACCGGAGTACCCGGAGAAAAACCTCTCGGAGCAAGGAAGAGAACCAACAACAAACTCAACCCACATATGGCGTCGAAGTTTGAAGTTTGTCCCATTACATGAGCATAGTTAGTCGCTTAATCCGTAAACGGTTTTGTCTTTTTGCCCGCTTTTGGTTCTAATCGCAATGTATAGATTTAGCCGAGGCTAAAGGCGAAACTCCAGTTAATGAAAAACATTGCAATGAAGAAATCCAATTAGAGTTGAGCCTGCGATCAGTTGAAAACTAGAAGCTTGTAAGCGGTAAACTTAAAAAAAAACATGTACCCTCGATGGGTCGACACCTGAGCCACCAATACGGTCATGTGATAATGGTCATTGGATACCCTGTTTTGACAGCTGTCAACTGCCTACAACATGGATGTGCAATATCAGGTTGCAGGCTCCCACACTAGCTAGAACGTTTAACATTTCACATTGGTTTCCCTGTGGTGTGGACGGACGGGCGGACGGGCGGGCGGGTGGACGAACGGTCACGTGACTACCAAAATTTCTTGGATGGATAGGTAACCAAATTTTCTTAGCTATGGGGATCCTCTCGCGCGCAATATTAATCTAATTCTAGTGATAAAAATTAGGTTAACTTGTAGACAATTTTTATGTCTTCAGTCTCCAGACACGTCTTTCACTGAAAGTGAGGAAGTACGAGTATCAGTAGAAAAGGTGTGTTAATATTTTCCAGTTTGTACAGTAATGTTAATTCAACTGCATCTTTGCCACTAGGGTAGACATGTTGTGATCGGATTTGATCCTGAGTTTACATTGTATTTTTCTTTGTTTCAAACTGACTGTCAAACATTACCATAGTACCCAAAAACAATAATATGAACCCATGTTTTAAGAAAAAGTCACACCATATTTTACTCGATAGTTTTCATTTGTATCCCAAAACATGTAATTAATTCACACATTAAACTCGCACGGTTTAGTACCAGCTAGTGCAATGGTGAGTGCACTATTTTGCGCAAAGCTCAGGTACACTAGTACTACTCTCACTTCAAAGCATCAGCTTCTGCTAACTGGTTTTTTATCATGAAACCTTAACTAACATTTACGCCTCCCTAATACGGACACCAAAGGGACTGGGCCAAGTGTTTGCATTGTAAAGGTGTCCATGTTATAGAGGTGGAAACCAGTAGTACTGACTGTAATAGAGGGAGGTAATGTTATACACGGGTCGGTAAGAAAAGGCTCGACTGTATAAGTTATCTTTTTGTATGCTTACTCACTTATAGGATGATCCCCTCGATTCCATCAAATTGGCGCGAGTTTCGATTAGTGGCAGGCCATGTACAGCCATCACTGATATCGACAAGGCTTTTGGAACCGCCAGGAACATCAGGTATTAATTAGCGTCACTTTCCTTCGTTAAGTCACTTTGCTAAGTACCGCTGTTTTTTCAATGTACAAACATCCGTAAAGTTTCTGATCTCCATTTGCGTTACTTTGCTCTATTATGTTTTCAGAAAATATGACGAGGTTGTATCCATCAACGATATCCCGGTAAGCGAATCGGATCAAAATCTTGTTAAATCTTTGCTGGATGGAGCTGTAACGACGCTTAATATGGTAAGACTTGAACTGTTGGTTATTTCTTTTGCTACCAACCCTTTTTTTCTCATTCTCATTTACATGTCAATTAAAGGAGATAGGCGTAGAGGTCACCATAAAAAAACTTGAGTCCATTATGCCGTCAACTCGACGTCTATTCCTGATTTTATTCTCGCCATAATTTGTTTGTATTCGTTGTTTCTTTTTATAGGTTCTCAGGCGACCTGTTGGCAGTTGTCAGGTTAACCTGGACTTGGATCTCAAAATTCCAAAGAAACATAAAACCGGTAAGAAAGTGATAAACATTTATGGTAAAGGCTGTACTCATTTAAGTCAAATGTCGTCCGCCAATTGGTCAGTAGACAAACGACATTGCCCCTATTGTAGTGCTTAGGTCTAGGGACCTTCCCTCAGTTGGTCATTGGACAAATGAAATTGCCCCTTATGTAGTTCTTAGGTCTAGGGATCTTCCATCAGTTGGACATTGGACAAATGAAATTGCCCGTTGTGTAGTGCTTAGGTCTAGGGATCTTCCATCAGTTGGTTATTGCACAAATGAAATTGCCCCTTATGTAGTGCTTAGGTCTAGGGATCTTCCATCAGTTAGAATTTGGACAAATGAAATTGCCCCTTATGTAGTGCTCAAGTCTAGCGATCTTCCATCAGCTGGTCATTGGACAAACGACATTGTCCCTATTGTAGTGCTTAGGTCTAGGGATCTTCCATCAGTTGGACATTGGACAAATGAAATTGCCCCTTATGTAGTGCTTGGGTCTAAGGATCTTCCATCAGTTGGTCATTGGACAAACGACGTTTTTTGTTGCAGTGCCCATAGACACATGTATTGTAGCGCTGCTTTTTCAGTCCTTTTTCAACTTCAAAATCTTTTTGCAGGTCTCGGATTTGAGTGTGGGTTGTACGTGAAAGCACTAAAGGATAGCTGTATCTCAGAAGATCAAAACAAACTCGAAATAGGAGATTATGTTATGAAGGTAAGATAAAATCATTTTTGTAATCCGGTGATCGAGCAATTTTCAGTGGTTATATCCGACCCATTGCGCCACCTATTTGATAGCTGGGCACGCTACGCTTCGGAGGTTTTATCATTTTCCGCTAGGCCTTAGGTTTCGTTATTTTGGCCAATAGTATTTCATTAGATTAAGAGATGCATTTAACATTTTCTTTCATCATTACATCTTATCACTATTTCTTCAAAACTTGTTACTAAATTTATTATTTGTAAGTTAAGCTTACCTCGGCGTTCCCCGTTGTTGTAGATCAACGGTAAACATCTGGATAAAATCATTGCTTCATCTGTGGAGAAAGTTTCCAAGAAAAACGGTGACAAATTGAAGCTTCACGTATCCAGAACGATCCAAGCCAAGCCAGGAATGTGCGAATTCAAGGTAGGTTGCTTTCTCACCTACGTAGATATATGAGAAGTAAAGCCCAGTTGATTCTTTAAGCTCTCATAGTGACCAGTAATAGAAACCCAGTAATAGAAACCCGGTCACCAGCACCTGCAATTTCTTCTTTCGCTTTCGAAATAAGCACAGAGGCTTAAAAAAACAACGATAAAGTGGATTATTTGGTACCGTGGAACGAAAAAAGACAATTCCTTGCTCTTTTAAAACTGCAGTCAAACCTCCACGTGCAACCACCTCTCGTTACGATCCAATCATATTTAGCGACCAAATTACAGTAAAAATGGCGCGGCTATTTCTGGTCGTTTACGAGAACTTGCTGTCGTAAGCGATCTTGTGATAAAAGTATTGTGGGTGTTCGCTTATTAGAGTTTTTGTGACAAAAAAAACAAAAGTGGCGTAATTATGTTGTTGATTGCAAATCGTTAATCCATTCAGCTNAATGTTATACACGGGTCGGTAAGAAAAGGCTCGACTGTATAAGTTATCTTTTTGTATGCTTACTCACTTATAGGATGATCCCCTCGATTCCATCAAATTGGCGCGAGTTTCGATTAGTGGCAGGCCATGTACAGCCATCACTGATATCGACAAGGCTTTTGGAACCGCCAGGAACATCAGGTATTAATTAGCGTCACTTTCCTTCGTTAAGTCACTTTGCTAAGTACCGCTGTTTTTTCAATGTACAAACATCCGTAAAGTTTCTGATCTCCATTTGCGTTACTTTGCTCTATTATGTTTTCAGAAAATATGACGAGGTTGTATCCATCAACGATATCCCGGTAAGCGAATCGGATCAAAATCTTGTTAAATCTTTGCTGGATGGAGCTGTAACGACGCTTAATATGGTAAGACTTGAACTGTTGGTTATTTCTTTTGCTACCAACCCTTTTTTTCTCATTCTCATTTACATGTCAATTAAAGGAGATAGGCGTAGAGGTCACCATAAAAAAACTTGAGTCCATTATGCCGTCAACTCGACGTCTATTCCTGATTTTATTCTCGCCATAATTTGTTTGTATTCGTTGTTTCTTTTTATAGGTTCTCAGGCGACCTGTTGGCAGTTGTCAGGTTAACCTGGACTTGGATCTCAAAATTCCAAAGAAACATAAAACCGGTAAGAAAGTGATAAACATTTATGGTAAAGGCTGTACTCATTTAAGTCAAATGTCGTCCGCCAATTGGTCAGTAGACAAACGACATTGCCCCTATTGTAGTGCTTAGGTCTAGGGACCTTCCCTCAGTTGGTCATTGGACAAATGAAATTGCCCCTTATGTAGTTCTTAGGTCTAGGGATCTTCCATCAGTTGGACATTGGACAAATGAAATTGCCCGTTGTGTAGTGCTTAGGTCTAGGGATCTTCCATCAGTTGGTTATTGCACAAATGAAATTGCCCCTTATGTAGTGCTTAGGTCTAGGGATCTTCCATCAGTTAGAATTTGGACAAATGAAATTGCCCCTTATGTAGTGCTCAAGTCTAGCGATCTTCCATCAGCTGGTCATTGGACAAACGACATTGTCCCTATTGTAGTGCTTAGGTCTAGGGATCTTCCATCAGTTGGACATTGGACAAATGAAATTGCCCCTTATGTAGTGCTTGGGTCTAAGGATCTTCCATCAGTTGGTCATTGGACAAACGACGTTTTTTGTTGCAGTGCCCATAGACACATGTATTGTAGCGCTGCTTTTTCAGTCCTTTTTCAACTTCAAAATCTTTTTGCAGGTCTCGGATTTGAGTGTGGGTTGTACGTGAAAGCACTAAAGGATAGCTGTATCTCAGAAGATCAAAACAAACTCGAAATAGGAGATTATGTTATGAAGGTAAGATAAAATCATTTTTGTAATCCGGTGATCGAGCAATTTTCAGTGGTTATATCCGACCCATTGCGCCACCTATTTGATAGCTGGGCACGCTACGCTTCGGAGGTTTTATCATTTTCCGCTAGGCCTTAGGTTTCGTTATTTTGGCCAATAGTATTTCATTAGATTAAGAGATGCATTTAACATTTTCTTTCATCATTACATCTTATCACTATTTCTTCAAAACTTGTTACTAAATTTATTATTTGTAAGTTAAGCTTACCTCGGCGTTCCCCGTTGTTGTAGATCAACGGTAAACATCTGGATAAAATCATTGCTTCATCTGTGGAGAAAGTTTCCAAGAAAAACGGTGACAAATTGAAGCTTCACGTATCCAGAACGATCCAAGCCAAGCCAGGAATGTGCGAATTCAAGGTAGGTTGCTTTCTCACCTACGTAGATATATGAGAAGTAAAGCCCAGTTGATTCTTTAAGCTCTCATAGTGACCAGTAATAGAAACCCAGTAATAGAAACCCGGTCACCAGCACCTGCAATTTCTTCTTTCGCTTTCGAAATAAGCACAGAGGCTTAAAAAAACAACGATAAAGTGGATTATTTGGTACCGTGGAACGAAAAAAGACAATTCCTTGCTCTTTTAAAACTGCAGTCAAACCTCCACGTGCAACCACCTCTCGTTACGATCCAATCATATTTAGCGACCAAATTACAGTAAAAATGGCGCGGCTATTTCTGGTCGTTTACGAGAACTTGCTGTCGTAAGCGATCTTGTGATAAAAGTATTGTGGGTGTTCGCTTATTAGAGTTTTTGTGACAAAAAAAACAAAAGTGGCGTAATTATGTTGTTGATTGCAAATCGTTAATCCATTCAGCTAAAATATTATTAGATAGTTTCTCTTTTAACGTATAAAATACAAAATCAGCTTTTATTTTACGTTACCCCGTTTATTCTAGTGTTGACTAATTAGTTAACGATAATATAAAAACCAATGAAAAGATCAGCCTGTGATTCAGAAAAAGTGGCCCCTTCGATTACCAGAGCCCTTCTTTGCAGAGTTAAATTACAGTTCAAACTGGGTTTCACCAAGCTGGTCATAACTAGTGCAGGTCGCTTACGAGAGTGGTCGGAAGGCCGAAAGCGTCGACTGCACTAAATACTTTTCAATTGGAACCCTCGGATAATAGTCCTGAATAAGACTGTTGTTGATAGTTACTGGCTCTTTTTCGTGAACCTGTTGGACGATCATCTGTCGTACCTCATTCTCCTGGTATCTCTCAAGTTTTTTGCCACCCTCTTGTCTATATCGAGGTAACTGAAGAGGATTGAATCAACTTATTAAGCCCCCGCTATGTGCTTTCTTACATTTTTCAATTATACTTGCCTTTTTCTCCAGACTTGTAACGCTACTGATTCCGAGTCCGAGAGCGTTGTACTAAGGCGTCTTCCTCGTTGTAATGGAGACAACCGTCTTTCACTCATATCGAATGACAGCTCTATATCACGCGACTCCAAATTTTCTATGAACTCGAGCGCTGGTTCCATGAGCTCGAACAACGAATCGTCACTAGCGGACTCGACCTCAGACCTTTACGGAAATAGATACCCGGTTTATGGACTTTTCCTGTCCGACAGACATAAAACTGGAAGTGGTATTTATATACCTGCATCAGATTCCCAACTGGAAACAATAGTGGCAGACGATTGGCCTGACGCGAGGACAGTAACTAGCGCGGATGATTCCCAGGATGCCTCGGATGCTAAAGAGAGCGATGCTTGCGACTATGGGACTTTGAAACGAAACAGTCGCGCGCCAGTAAACCGGAAGTTCGTTAGTACGTCGCAACTGCAGTCGGGAACGTTTTTGACGCCGACTTTGGACGGTACGTTGCATCGTGCCCAGTCCACCATCACTGCTGTTCGAGTCGACGATGATGGATTGAGTTCGAGCATAATAAGGTCGAGTACTTGTGGAGCAATCGTCCCTGTAGGAGAAAGGTTCGTAAATTTTGAATGTTTGTGTTTCAGTCCCCTCAGTTAAACCGTCTTATACGGACCTCTAGAAGGGAAAATGTGTTGCTGTTGTTTCGCCATGTTGCCCTTTTGTTTGAATCGCTTTTGTTGGAAGGAAAATTTGCTACTTATACGCACATCTGCCTAAAAAATAGTTCTATTTCTAAGCTTGCCCATTTTCAAAATCCTTTAAAAATTTCCTTACATTTGAATGGTTCAAATTCGACATGTCACTTAATAGGCGTCACGTTGCATATTTCACAGAGATAACTTATGCTTTACTTTATATGCGGTACATTCTTTTTTTATATAAGGACTTTTTTTGCTAGAACGTAATATTAAGAACATGCCAAGAACATACCCGAGGCTCAGAGAAGAACAATAAGTGTATTTTTACCGCCTTAAATTTCCTAAATCCAAAAACTCTGAATTACTAATAAGGTCCTACATGGAATCAGAGGGCATGTAAAGCGAAGCCACGTTAAAGACTTAGTGTAAGGCGATTCACTGACTGCTACAACGAGCCCCCTGTCTTCTGATCTATGATAAAATGTAACTTAAAAGTTATCAGATTTCAGTTATTGAATTTTTTTCCGTAAGAGCATTTCCGAGAGGAAACTGCCCAGAAAATAAGAACGGTCCAGGCTCAACTGGAAAAATGGACGTTCTTATTAAAAAAAGAGTGTATTTGAGATTCTGTTACAAAGCAAACTGAGTCATTAATGTTGGTTAGAGTAGTGTACAATTTACAAGAGTTATAATTTGTTATCACTAACCAATAACGCAGTTAATTAACCATCTATCTGCTCCGTCTCTCTCCTCAGCCCCCGTGTTATTCGCCTGGAAAAAAAGCCGTTGGATGGCCTGGGATTGGAGGTATCGGGTGGTTATCGCGTTGGAATTTACGTTATCGAGCTTTTGGAAAACTCTGTTTGTAAGGCTGCTGGCCTGCAAGTTGGAGATAGGCTTTTCAAGGTAAGAAATCTCACGTTAAGTTTCTGCTTTAGTCTTGCTTTCTGAAATTTTTACCTTTTTTCTCCTTAGTTGAATAGCTACGATCTAACAAGAGCTACCTTGGATCATGCCACACGGATTGTGCGCCTTCTCAGCACGTGCACTTATCTCAGGATCGAGGCTCAACTGGTATCAAGTAAGTCTTCTTGGTCCATAAAAAAATGTTGCTTATGCCTTCATGGTAGCAATTTTGTTCATATGACGTAACAGCTCCTTAGTTGTGCCATAGCCTGACTATGTTATTAACCTGATCTTGTAAAACACATCTCAAACTATCCATTAAATGTACTTCAAAAGATGTTTTCGTCATGCAGCAAGGAAATCCAAAGGGGCAACATCTACCCCGAAAGGGGGCTTATTAGCTTTCGTCCCCTGAAAAGAGGGGGCTTATTTGAGAGGGGGGGGGGGGGGTGCTAAATAGAGAATTTACGGTACTTAGCTTGATGACTCATGTTTTTGTAGATTACAAGGACATTCTGGAAGACAAACCTTACGATTCACTTTATGTCAGGTAAGTATGACTTAACGTAGCAGTGCCGTAATTCGTGCAATATCTGAGGATTTTTCAACAACGAGCTGACGTTCGGGATCATTTTTTCGCTTTTCGCTTATACGTTGTTGAAAATGGACGGTTGAGCATGCGTCGAAAACGAGGACGAATTTGCTGTGCAAAGTCGTCGTACTATGACCATGGAAAACGGGATTGACACTGCACGCGGGCATAAAGTAACAGCGGTGTAAACGTATCTGTTAACACTAAATCTTCTATTTAAGGGTCGTATTTCGTTTGCTTAAGATTTGATTTTTTACTTGATGACAGGTGGGTGATGAACCTGGGATTTCAAGTTTTGTTCAAAATAAAATATCATGCAGTTTCAACTCGTTCTCTTGGCAAGTTAACTCGAGATTTAAATTTAACTTTTTAACTTTTGTTTATTAAGAAAACACCATTGTAAACACTGGTTTTTAACCCTTGTGCGGTCACAGCCAATGTTCGCCTCCCCCCTCCCCCGATCTGTTTCACAAAGATGATTTTGATTGACTGATTGATTGATTGATTGATTGATTTTGTTCCTCAGAACTATTCACCCATACAAAGCTATGTCTCCAGACGAGCTCAGCTTCACGGTGGGGGAAACGCTACATGTAATCAACACGCGTGCAAACTATGATCAAGCGAGGCAAAGTTGGAAATGGGTGGCTCAACGCATGAGGAAAGACACCAAGGTTCTTGAAGAAGGTCTAGTTCCTTGCATGGGAAGGTAAGCTTTAGATAATTCGTTCCCAGAACTTGAAGTAGCAAGTAGCAGGGGACGCGAGGGACTGCACCTGATCGACCTGATCGCACCTGACCATCATGGCACAAATGGTATTCTGTAACCACTCGACCACATAGTAATGAACTTACGCAACAGAAGAAAGACGGCAAACCTTTTGTGACAAGCGTGAGATTCAAAAGTCGTTTGAAAAAACGTTTCGTCAAACTTTGCCCTCCCTTAAACAGATCTTTTAGTAAATGACCAGAAAACATTAATGTGAAGTGAAGATCACGACAAAGCACACAGTCAAGTAATTACCTTGTCACGTTTGTCACATACAAGCGTCAGCGCGTTTTGCCGTCCTCTCCTTTCTGCCGTCTTGCTGCGTAAACTCAATAATATGAAAACCACTGACAATAAGCAGTCGAGATGTCGCGATTTACAACTCAAGTGACGTGAGAGACTGCGCATTGCGAGACAAGCAATATTCTCCTGTTTATTGTTCTTACCGCTCGAATAGGCCATTTTCAAAATTGTGTGCAGACAGCCCTAGCCTTTAAATAGGAGCGAGGCTTAGGGTGGCCATGTTTTGTTTCTGTCCTTACTGCTTTTCATGAGTAAATCGTGTTCTTCTCATGCTACGAGGCCCGTTATCATGTGAAAAACATGAAGGTTGAAACAAAACCAGGTCGCCTCCAGCCTCGCTTCTATTCAAAGGCTAGGGAGCTGAGCACACAACCTTAATTTAGACATGAGAATAAGAAACCTGATAATTTGTAGGAGTAACACAAAACAGAACCCTAGTTCCTTTGGCTATAATTATTTCCCTTTCCTTTAACAGTATTCCAGAACATGTTGAGTCATCAGTCTTGTCCCAAACTCTTCAGCGGTTTGATTCTGAGTCTGAGGAACGTATGAGTGATGATGCACCATCAACATTAAAGAGAGCTTCAACTGATCGGCGCAGCATCATTCAGAGATACCGCAAACTTATGAAACGAGAGAGCAGGGAATTCGCCCATAATACAGACGAAAATGGTGAGAACTTTCTCATAAAAGATAACTAACCATTTTTTTATGGCAAGTCGCCTGACTTAAATCAGCTTAACCCGTCTTTTAAAACTTTCCGATTTCTGAAACCGTTTCAAAGGTCAGAACCCGCTTGTACGGCGTCAGACGGAACCACAGTCTCATGCTACTAAGTACGATTCACTNAAGAAAGACGGCAAACCTTTTGTGACAAGCGTGAGATTCAAAAGTCGTTTGAAAAAACGTTTCGTCAAACTTTGCCCTCCCTTAAACAGATCTTTTAGTAAATGACCAGAAAACATTAATGTGAAGTGAAGATCACGACAAAGCACACAGTCAAGTAATTACCTTGTCACGTTTGTCACATACAAGCGTCAGCGCGTTTTGCCGTCCTCTCCTTTCTGCCGTCTTGCTGCGTAAACTCAATAATATGAAAACCACTGACAATAAGCAGTCGAGATGTCGCGATTTACAACTCAAGTGACGTGAGAGACTGCGCATTGCGAGACAAGCAATATTCTCCTGTTTATTGTTCTTACCGCTCGAATAGGCCATTTTCAAAATTGTGTGCAGACAGCCCTAGCCTTTAAATAGGAGCGAGGCTTAGGGTGGCCATGTTTTGTTTCTGTCCTTACTGCTTTTCATGAGTAAATCGTGTTCTTCTCATGCTACGAGGCCCGTTATCATGTGAAAAACATGAAGGTTGAAACAAAACCAGGTCGCCTCCAGCCTCGCTTCTATTCAAAGGCTAGGGAGCTGAGCACACAACCTTAATTTAGACATGAGAATAAGAAACCTGATAATTTGTAGGAGTAACACAAAACAGAACCCTAGTTCCTTTGGCTATAATTATTTCCCTTTCCTTTAACAGTATTCCAGAACATGTTGAGTCATCAGTCTTGTCCCAAACTCTTCAGCGGTTTGATTCTGAGTCTGAGGAACGTATGAGTGATGATGCACCATCAACATTAAAGAGAGCTTCAACTGATCGGCGCAGCATCATTCAGAGATACCGCAAACTTATGAAACGAGAGAGCAGGGAATTCGCCCATAATACAGACGAAAATGGTGAGAACTTTCTCATAAAAGATAACTAACCATTTTTTTATGGCAAGTCGCCTGACTTAAATCAGCTTAACCCGTCTTTTAAAACTTTCCGATTTCTGAAACCGTTTCAAAGGTCAGAACCCGCTTGTACGGCGTCAGACGGAACCACAGTCTCATGCTACTAAGTACGATTCACTTAAATATTTATAGTGACTTATCCTCTACAGACTCCAAACGAGAAAACAGACACCCAAGAACAAGAATGGAGAGCTAGATAGCTAGATAATTTTCCAGTGGTCGCTCAATTCACCCGATTAATTGCGTTGCAGTTTCTTATAATTTTTGTAACACTTAACGCGCAGTGAATACCCATGTAACGTTTTTTCTTTCTTCTGCAGGTAACACGAACAAGGTGATGTTTTACGAAATCCTAAGCAAGATTTCGGACTGATCTTATGACCTCCCGTATTATCTGCAGATATAATTATTGTATTTAAAACAGGTCTCTGCATATCATAAATTACATATATTGCATGTTTCTTGGTAATAACTTATTCCCAGTTATGACAAATGATATCATTAACTTTCTCCTTGTTATATCAGTGCATAATTAACCAGACAGGTCAGGAGAATTGTGACCATCCAATACGAATTATCTCTTCCTATCAACAACTTTTGTGTACTTATTCTGCAACGAATGTGTCGGGCAGAGGGGATCGGAAACGCCTTCGTTGTCCTGTAACGATAAAATATGAACTGATTTCACACACGTATTACTGAATAAGGAGTCGTTACTTACACTTTTATGCAGTTTATTATGTGATGATATTACAAGGAGAGATTCGGTACCGTTTAATAGTCGTTTCTGTTTTTTCTATTTAAGCACCACAACTTCCTAGTCGTACCTTGTTTTTAATGCCGGCACCCCCCCTCCCCACCCCCCCTTCCCTGTTTTTTGGATGTCTGGTGGTAATCTGGGTTTATTTTTACGTCAGCGATCGAAAGCGAAGTTGAATGTTACTGACGACCTTTTGGCTTCTTTACTTCCATTGTTCTTTTTTCTTCATTTATTAACATTTAAATAATAAAAACAACACAAAGATAGTTATTTTTTTTATGTCATT